AAAAAAAAAAAAAAAAAAAAAAAAAAAAAAAAGTCAGCATTCAAGGAAAATCTTTAGTACTAGTAATATACCAGGAGAAACAGAAGAAAAGGCAATGTGTAGAAAAGAGAGACTGCTCAAGATGAAGTAACTGTTACCATTAACATTCTCACGCAAGATATTACATTATTAAATAAAAAGAGCTGAGCATAGTGGTGCACGCCTGTAATCCCACCCCTCTGAGGCAGGAGAATCACAAGTCTGAGCCCAGCTTAGGCAATTTAGCAACTTTGAGACTGTGTCTCAAAATAAAAATAAAATAAAGTTAATACAAAAAAAAGATTCTAATTTTCAAAAATAACTTACAGAACAAAACGAGCTTCTAAAGTAAAGGGCAAAAAAAGAGTAGAAATAGAAAATCTCCAAGAGCCAAAAGATAAGGCTGGAAAGCCGTGCTTGGTGGGGCATTCAGTAGACTGAAGCAGGAGGATCACTGTGAGTCTGAGGCCAACTTGGGCTACACAGTGAGTTCAAAGTCTGCCTGAATTACATAGTGAGACCTGCCTCAAAAAACAAAACAAAACTCTCCCAAAAGATACAGTAAGAATGTACCAAAAAGTACAATAAATAATAATGAAAATATGAATGAAAAGATAAGGAAGTTTGAAGCGGAGTCCACAAGGTTCAACATCTAAACAGCACAAGTTCTGAAAAGGAAGAACAGAAAACAGATGGGAAGAAATCATCTATAAAATAAATCAAGAAAGTTTTCTGGAACTGGTCAATGTCCCAACCTGTTTGTATCTGGTATGGTCAAATGGGAGAAACTGGACTAGACGACTTGAAATTTTAGCCAGAGTAATTAGGCAAGAGAAAAAAAGAAAGAAAAAAGATACACAAACAAGAAAGAAGGAAGACAAATTATTCCTGTTTATAAGTAATACGATTCGATATAAAGAAAATCTTAAAGACTCCACCAAAGACTTTAGAATAAACTATTTCAGTAACACAGTAGAACACAAAATCAATCAACATATTAAAAATAAGTAGCACTTCTATAATATCAATTTGATTTCAGTGAGAAAGAAACCAGGAAACTAATTCTTTTTCCAAAACAATCCTAAGCCAGAGGCACAACAGTACGGAATTCTAAAACATACTACAGAGCCACAGTAATAAAAATGCAGTCATGAGAAAAATGCAGACATTTAGACCAACAGAACAGAACAGAGGACTCAGGAAGAAGTCCATGCATCTTCAGCTGATTCTTGTTCTTGACAAAGATGTCAAAAAAATACAATGGGGAAAGGAGTCTCTTCATCAAAGAGTGCTGGGAAAACTAGATATCCACATTTAGAAGACCGAAACTAGATTCCTAACTCTCACTCTATACAATTCAACTTAAAATAGTTAAAGACTTTACTGTAAGACCTTTGAAACTACTAGACAAAAACCTAAGGGAAACACTTGAAAATACTGGTTCAGGCAAGAATTTCCTGGATAGGACTCCAGTTACATCAGAAGCCTGAGTGCAGGGAAGTTCTAGAGGTTTTTCAGGTGATTCTAATATGCAGGCTGAGAACCATAGCACCAGATGCTGTGAGTCACATAACAGCAAGCTGCTGCTGACAAAAGAAAACTTTAGTACAGTACCAGCTCCCACAGAAGCTTACAGTCAGTTGAGGGATATGTAAGTGGCAACAACCTGACTCAAAGAGGAGTGAGTTAAATGCTTGAGAGAGGGCTCAAGGGATTTCTGGGGAAATCCCCATGGCTAGTACTGCAATACAGTATGTCAGCTATCAGCCAGCCACACGTGGTCATTGGAATTTAAATTAACGACGAAAAAAATAAAAATAAAAATTCAGTTTCTCAGTCACACTAGCCACAATTCAAGCACTCAAAATACACATGTGGCTAGTGGCCACTGTGTTGGACAATGTGAACAGAAAATATTTCCATCATCACAAAAGGGTTTACTGTATAGTGCTAGGCCAGAGGGTCCAAAAAGGAGAAAAGCATCTGGAGCCAGAGGGCTGGGTTATACAGCTATCCCAGAGTTGGGGCAAAAGAATGCTGTGGTTAAGACAAAGAATGTTCAACACCCAGAAAACAGAGTAAACTGGACTAACGACTGATAACTAGATGAGGCTAAAACTGCCAACCAGCAATTACAAATCTGGAATGAGGCCAGTTGGGTTCAAATACCAGCTCTATCACAGAATGGATACTACTGGGCAAGTTATTTAAATTCTCTAGGCCTGGGTCTCTTTATCTGTACAATTAGGATACTACTATCTATTCTGTAAGATTACCCCCAAAACTAAATGCAATAACCTGTACAGAGGTTCTATTATACAGAGGCTGCACAGTAACGAAAGCTCTTATCATTTCCATTTCAAATTCTAAAATGCAGTGCAGTAAGTCTTGAAAGTGTAATTACCCGTGTGGCTCCTCTGATGGATTGCTAAAAAGTGACTGTATTTAAAAACTTTGCCACAGTCTTTACAATGGGCCTCAGGACCACTGGGGCGTTTTCTCTTTCCACACACCCTCTTGGCTGAACCATGGTCGTCGTCATCCCCAAGAAGTTTGTAATCTTTAAGTTTGACGGACCTCCGGATCCTCCGCTTGCTGTACCGACTCTCGCAGTCCTGCCCTTCCTGGGTCTTCGGATCACAGTTCTCATCTTTTTCAGCTGCCATCTCTTCCACTCCACCTGCCTCACAAGAAGGCTCACATTCTTCCTTTTCTTTGGCAGGAATCTGTTCATTCAGTAGCCCATTGTCTCCTTCTTTAACCACAAAGTTTTGTCTATTCTGAACTGAATTGTTCACCCTTAGCTGTATTTCCTCCTCTGCAGCCAGTTCTGATTTGCCTTCTTGCAAACTATTGACTTTTCTTGGTCTGCCTCGTTTCCGCTTTGGAGGGTCGTTTTTCTTATTAGAAATAACAACCACAGGAGCACCCGCACTGTTCAAAGTTGCTGGCTTTGGGGAGCTATGATTATTCTGCAAGTCTGTGTAAGCCTTTACCAGGTCATAGACTTTTAAAAATTGAGCAGTAGCCAGGACTTGTTCTGTGCTTTTTTCACTAGTGTGGAGATAACCTGTGTAGATAAATTCCAGCAGGATACCAAAAATGTCTGCAACCATGCCTTCCAGCATATAAATGGACTGTCCAATCTCCCCCTCTTCTGCAAACATCATTGAGAAATATTCACTACTGGCAGCAAGTAAGGCTTTATGGGCCCGGAAATGCACATTCTCCACAATTAAAGTAATGTCACAGAGAAAGCCTTTCTTTCTTTGATTCTCAAAACTGGCTAGGACAGTGTCACTGTGAGTGTCTGAGCGTACAACAATCTGCCCTTCAGAAAGCTCTGGTGATGCTTCTGCCATTTTCTTTTTGCTTTTTCTTTTTCAGTATAGGGAATTGAACTTAAGCCCTCTTGTTTGCCAGGTAGGCGCTGTGCCAATGAGCTACGTCCCTGGCCCCACTTCTGCCATTTCTTCACAAGCCAAGAAGGCTTAAATCTGAAATAAGAAGACAATGTTTAAACGGGATTATACGTTAACACGGTTAACCTCAGCCTACATGAACGTGCTATTGCCTTCGTTTTGCTAACTTAATTTTTTTTTGCCTGAATTTTAATATTACCATTTACTAAAGTCTACTTAGAAGCTTAGCTCTGGGTTTTCATTCCTACTGCACATTACAAAGCTGGTCTAATTCCCAATATCCATGTAACCTCTCAGCTTTCTCCTCTGGAGACGAAGGAATGGATCAAATCAGATGTAAAGTCCTTTTCCGCACCAACTTTTAGGGCTGCACAATTATCGAGTGAGAACTACACTGCCTCGATCTCACATATTACTACTTCATCTGTGGGAACAAATATTTTAAAAGGCGAAGAAAATGCATATCCGCAAACTGAATCTGGGGAAGCACAACGTAAGCCGCGCGAGGCCTCTCACTGAAGTGCGGCGTAGCAAGGGCCTAGCGGGCACCGGTGCGGGGCCCCGGGAGCTCCACTCCCTCGGTCGGCAGCCCAAGGAGTAGCCCGCGGGAGGCCTGATCTCAGGCTGGGTCCTCGGACCGCCGGGG